AATGTTTTGTAATTTCAATTGAGGTCCATCACTTTTTTAGTATAGTGTACTCCTAGAAATCTTATATATTCATCTATTTATATATTTCAATGTTTTGCTGTTGTTTTAGATATTATTTCCCTGCATTTTCTCATCAAATTAATTGTTGGTGTATAGAAAAGTTGCTGGCTTTGTAGGTGAATGTCCTTCCCGCTACTTTACTGAATTGGTCCATGCATGACACTTGTACTGTCTGCAAACCCCTGTACTTCTTCCCTCCCTGCCTGTATATCTCTAATTCTTTGAGCATGTAGCTCTTGTGAATAGTACTGCAAAAAATATGGCCATGAAAAGAACTCTACTATATGGACTTTATTTCCGCAAGGTGAGATCGGGTAGCTGATCACTTAGTAAACTATCTTCAGTTGGAGGAAGCCCCTCCAGCTATTCTTCATAGTAGCTAGATTAACCTTACCACCAGTGTACAGTGATATAGGTAGTTTTCTCTTTCAGATTTTAAAATTCTTTGTCTCATCCTTTTGACAGTTTTGAGTATAGTATGTTGTGGGGAAGATCTTTCCTGGTCATGTGTATTTCAGGTTTATAAGCTTCATGTATCAGGATGTCCATGTATTTCCCAAAGACAAGGACATAAATGTATGATTATTGTTCTGAATAGGTTCTCTATGCCCTGACTTTACCATTTCATCTCAAAGTATTCCAAAAATGTGAGGGTTTTGTCTTTTTGTTTAATGGTAACCTAAAGTTATGAATGCTCTCTTCTTTTCCTCCTTGTTCATCTCACCCTTCTTTCTCCTTTTCTTCTTTTTTCCTTTCTTTCTCATTGTTTCTTCCTCTTCCTTTTTCTCTCTTCATCCTTCTCTTCCTTTTTTCCATTTTCTTCCTTCTCCCCTCTTCATATTTTAAAAGACCTGTTTTCTAATTCAGATATTTAATCTTTCACTTGATCTAGTTGATCTTGTCTGATGTTGAGACTTTCAACTAAATTTTCTCTGACTAATCGAGCTTCATTTCAAGATTTCTTCTTGGTTCTTCTCTAAGATCTCTATCTTCTTGCCCAATTGTTCATGCATGTCTTATATTGTCTTCCTCACGTAACTGTTTCTCTGCGTTCCCTTGGATCATACTGAGCTGTTAAGGATAATTCCTTTAAATTCTTAATTAGGCATTGCATTCATTTTGATTTAATCCGTTGCTAGAGAATTATGATCTTTTGGAAGTGCCACATTACCTTGCTTTTTCCATCATTCTTCCGTCCCTACAATTGTGATTTGTACATATGGTGAATAAGATAGCCCTGCCATTTTTTATGTCACAGTGAATGACTTTCCCTTAAAGGAATGTGTTGGTATATCTGTTTGACAAATAACGTTGGCCTGGATTTTAGCTGGGCACCATAGTTCAGTGTCCCTGTTCCTTCTCTGGCCGCCAGTACATTATGGCAGAGTATATAGCATTTCCAAGTCAGAAAGACTGTTCCTCTCCAAGATGGAGAGCATCTGAATGGCTCAGGCAGACATGGCAGGGACATCTGTGGTGGGGGCCGGTGCACACTGGCTATTCCTCTTGCTGTCCAAGTGGTGACTCCTTCGGGGTGATGGGAATTTCCTCAGTATCCTTCATGTCAGTCCAGTTACTAGCCAGCCTCGGGCACTACTGGTGGCACTAGTAGCAGTGCCTCAGATCAGAAAGTAGCACCCACTTAGATGCAAGCCAGGGAAAGGAGGGGCTCTCTAACAGTCCTGACAGCTGTGTGTGGCGGGAGTCAGGACGACTACAGGGCAGCCAGGAGTGGGAACCACAGAGGATCTGAGCTGCTGCTGTCTCCTCCCGTTCTGAATGTCCACCTTGGAGAAGCTCAGCCCTCCAGCTGTGCACACCAGGGGTGGTGCCACAGCCAAGGAGTCTCCTCCTTCAACTACTGCATAGTTCACACCCCAGAGTGAGTGGAAGCAGCACAGCTGCTCACAGCCAGAGGCAGCAGTCGTGTGCTTCTGGGGACAGAGTGACAGCTGGAGCTCCCTGGTGCCTTCGCAGGCCCCTCCAGGCAGAGCAGCAGGGAATCCTGGTGTTCACGCCCGTCCGGTCAGCAGTGAGCACCTCAGTTTGGTACAGGAAGGGATGTGAGGCAACACAAGCGCACGAGCCTCTGCCAGCTCAGAGCCACACACACTGGGTCTCAGAGGACAAACTGCCAGTCTCTTGCCTTCCCTTCCACTCTGTGTCACAATACCCACCTCTGACACTGCGGGGCCCTGCCGGGTGTGAGTTGGTTCTTGTTAGTCAAAATGAGTGCCCTGAGGAGCTGCTCAAGAAACCACTACCGGTAGGTATCTCCTCGGGGTCTCAGAGATCGGACTAAGCAGCGCGTTCTAACACCTAGGTGAGTGCAAATTGAGACAACCATCCCCCTCCTCTAATGGCCTCTAACTACAACACACGTGCTGTTCACTGAAGATATGTTATCCTATTGCTCACTGGGAGATGTATTATTGAGATGAGATCAAATCCTTTTCCAAAGGAAGGCTTCTGTTAAGGTTTCACATTACTAACCAAGTGAGCCAGCTACTACCTGTGAAGAGGATTGAACTTCTCCAGTAGCTAGGACTGACCACTTCAGCTCTGACTTCAGCTCTGGGACTCCTGCAGGATTCTCCCTTTCGCCCATACCCTCTGCAAAGGGAGAGTCTCGCTCTCCAGCTGTGGAGCTGAGGTGCTGGATACCAGGATATTTTGAGTGCTATTGTCCTGAGTTTTCTGGATCTTAGAATGTTCCAATGGCTCTTGTTGATTTTCAATACTCTCTCTGGATCACACACCTCAAGAGACAGCTACACACCTGTTGCTTTTGTTCATCATCTCCACAGAGATGGTGCAGAGTACTGCTATTCAGGCATTTTGGAACCCTGACCAGTCCGTCTGTCATATACATGTAACTCATTCACAAAGTTTTGCATTTTCTAAGTTTTCTCCTTATGTTTTTCCTCCTTAATGTTCACACCATTGACTCACCTGGCACTTACTTTTCTATACAGGATGAGTTAGTTAAGTTGGCTTTCCTATAAGCTGTACCAATACCTTTCATTTAGCAAAACATAAACAGGTTTTACCATAAGCCGAAGTCATCTCTCTGATGTGAATGAAGTTCCTGTGATGCAAAGGTTTGAACCTTTTAACCCTGTTCTACTACTCTCTCCTTCTATTCCTCCTTAACATCAGCCTGCCTTAATTAAAGTAGCTTTGTGGAAACTTCTCACTTTTGATAGGTCAAATTCAGTCTATTTTTGTTTAAATTTTTTCCCATATGAACTTAAGATATCATTTGACCTGGGTTAAGAAGATCTGAATTGATATTGTATTACAAATAGTATTATTTAGTACATACTATGTCAATTGTCTCATATAAGAACAAGCCCTCTTCCTGTCTAGAATTTTCTTTCTTTCCTTCAGGTGTCTTCCATCTTTCATGAAGAAATAATTCTACTTAAACTTTTAATATACCATCCCTTCTGCTCATCCTCTGTCCCCCAGATAAGCAAGCCACTTTTGGCTCAAGATCTCTGCCAGGCAGTTTTTCTCTGCCAGGTGAACGCACCTGCATGCCTCCCAGGTGTTTGTTTCTCTGCTTGGTGATCTTACCTGCATTCCTTTACTTGAATCCTTTTTCATCTTTAAGACCAGAGTTAATCATCATTTCTTCAGAGTATTACTCAGATGCACAAGTATTCACTGGGCTGCAGTGGAGATAAACAGTAAGGGAGCAGAATGTTGTCTGAGTGACTCCTGGAATAGTACATTTAGGATTAGCTGAATTTTGGGGTTCCCCTCCCCCAGTACAGAGAGAAGAACCATTTAAATATTCTGGCCCTATGATGAGAAAGAGCTTGGGGACGTTTGCAAAACTAGACCAGTGGGACTGGAATAGAGAATAAGGCCTAAGAGGTTGGAAGACAGACAAGGCAGGTACAAGCGGTCTCCTCTACTCTTAGCAAGCAGTGACACATTTATCAAGCATTCCTTTGATGGATGACATTGTAATACATTTTGTAAGGACTCCATCTGAAGTATTTCCACTACACAGGTAGAAATTTATATCGCTATTCTGCATATGAGTCAGGAAGGATTAGAGACCTAGTGGATGGATGACACAATGATTTCCGGATGGAAATGATTTACTCGAAGGGGGTGCCGCTGATCAAGATACATTGTATTCATAAATTGTTTGTTAAATGGCACCTCCTTTGCACAACTGCTTATAGATTATAAAACATAAAAGAAAAAAGAAAATAATTTGCTCAAAGCCAATGGCTTCAAATTGTAACTCTAAATTTTCCCTTCATCAGATCTTTTAAGATTTAAGCCTGGGCAGAAAAGTCCCTGTGAGATAAAATTTGTAACTAGTCCCAAACACCATCAAATGGTTATGTTTGCTATTTATTTTACAATTATGATTGTACACCTACACTCACACACACACACACACACACACACACACACACACACACAGAGTCAGACCAATGGCTCCTTAATCGAATCACAGCATAGGAAACAAGCTGTTTGTCAACGTGGGACTATCTGCTATGAGGGCTGGACGGATTTCCCCTCCTCACTCACTTTAGGCTCAGTGTTTACTAATACGGGAAAAGAACATTTAATATGTAAGCCAGCCACAATACTTTTAGCAGACCATTACATGACAAGAACTCTTTTGCCTCCATTTTAAATTCAAAAGGCAAATACTGGAAAGCGAACACTGCTTTTCTAACTTTTAGCCAACTTCTTGCACTCACTGGCAGATCATGAGGAATGGATGGGACTAGAAGCATATACAAGTATACCTTATAGAATTCACGCTGAAAACACCCTGTCAGAGTCAGCAGGAGCTCTGCTACCCGCTCCAGCCTCAGTCCCCAGGCCACAGGGAGGCAAATGTGTGAGAGCTGTTCCTGTCAGGACGTGTGTAAGCAAAACCCTGGCAGACTCAAAAACAGACACTCAAATTCTAGAGTATGCATCTTTTATTTTTATAAATTTATATTAGGATATTGTACAGTTTCAAAACTAACAACAGAATCTTTTTGTATGTGTATTTAAAGCATTAACAAAATAAAAGTTTTTCACAAAAGAAGTTTGTATTACAGTACTATTGAAATATGAGGCACAGAGTAATTATGCGCTTGTGGGTTATAAACAATACATTCATTTTAAAGAATAAACATTTAATGTGGTGACAACATTTTGGTTTAAATAAATATCATAGTAAGTGTCAACAGCAACACCAGAAGTACATGGCTATAGGAAAGGTGTTATGTGATAGCTCCTATGCAGAATGGTGGAGCATGCAGGGAGTGGCTTTAGTACCTACTACATTTATAATCATTGCACACTTCTGAGCCCTTTATTTATACTGGGACACACCCTACACTCACCACTCCTCAACCTCCATGAAAAGGACTCGGTCCCTCACACCTCCCCAAGTCTTTGGGTACCAATGTCTAACCCAGGTTTGGAATAGGATGACCTTTCCATCTACTGCTTCTCCAATCAGCTCAAATGTTTGACTTAGTGTAAAATTTACTTAGAAACACAAAGAGTGTCTTATCAGTGATTACAATGACTAGAGCTGCTAATCACATCCATAATTCTTTGAAATGATCCCATTGTAAATTAAATTTGGTTTTACACCATAGCTTCTTTGGGAAAATATGAACATTCTGATTAAAAAGGAGATACAGTAACTGAAACAAAAAATTTCCACTTGAAGAAAATAGTAATACATTTCCCTGACAATTAAATTTTCCCTGGCTATTTCTTTGTAGAACCTAGCTTCATAGAAAAGGGAAGCATAGCTTAAATCTCCACTGAGAAGTCTCTGTGAAGGGTGAAGCTAATAAGTTTTACATCCATGTATTCTTCAAGACAAAGAAAAGGGACATTTCCTCTCAATTATATTAAAATGACGACAATTATGGTCAACATGAAACAATTCTATTGGTTCTTCCTTCCGGGTATAATCTACTGGCGCTCAGTAAGAAGGTTCCGAGTCATGAGAATAGGGTAAACAGCTCCATAAAAGACACCAGCCAGGTTTCCTTTGCCTAGTCCAAGATAAAATTACCCTTCAGATATCCATATAGAACCAGGAAAACTGTGAAACACAGAAGGTTTTATACCTTTTGCCATTTATACATTCTTAAAGTTTACACATTAGAGCAAGCGGAAATGCAAAACTACGTGGACAAACAACACTTGCAGTAATGGCGGCTGATATGAGCTCTGTGAAGACCAGGCCCCCCGCTGGCAGGGTGCCCTGGCCCAGGATGTGGTGGGCTGGCGACACACACAGACCTTCGCGGGGACGGCCACGGGCCTGGGGTTTCACAGCTCTGAGGGACTGGTGGCTATGGCATGAAGGCACTCAGAAAAACCCAGCTCCAGCATTTACTATACTCAGCCTGTTTCCTTAAACTAAATTAAACATCCTCCTCCCCATCGTCTTCAGGCGCAAACACAGTACTTCACTCAAAGCTTTGCCAAAAAGCCTTCTTCTCATTACAGTGCTGGCTACCATTAGTAATGGCCAGTCTCTGTGTCTTTTTCTAAAATCACTGTTGATGACTATCCACATTCACAGGCACATGGGAACACACATCCTTGCTTCCTCTCGGACAAGACAAAAATACAGACATACAGGGTGACCCAAATTTTAAAAAGTTTAAAAAATATTTTCAATTTCGATGGGCATTATGTTCTCAGAAAATCTGAAACATAAATGGCTAAAATGCACACATAATATAAATAAGAAAGTAACTGAAGAATATAAAAACTTTCTATGGAGAGGAATCAGAATTTCAATAAAATCTATGAATAAAAACATATGCTTACATTATTGTATACAAGTATGACTTAAAATGCATTTAGACTCATAGAGAAATTGAAATATAGTACTGCAAGATTATTTAAAGACTATTTTTCAAATGTACAAACGTAATAAAAACACACAGAAAAGGCCTTAGGCAATGTGTAACTTAAAAATTACTATCACACCAGCCAAATGGATCCTTAACCACTTTTTAAACGGATTCATTTGTACCATTTAAATGCTAAGACTGAAGTGATTAAAGGACTCTTCAGTGTCTGACTCACATTTTACCCCCAAATTTTTTCACATTTAATAGTTGCACTTTGAATGTATAAACTAAAAATTTTTAATGGTTCTCAAATAGTTTGTTTATATTTAGCAAAAGAAGTATATTTAAAAGCTAAGTGCTAAGCCCTAAAAACACATACTTCGAACTCAGAAGAAGATTCACACATGCTCATAATTAAGTTTATCTCAATGTCCATGAGCAACTACAAAGCAATGGAGTCAGGCATTCAGACCCTTTTCCTCAGCTTTCCAATCTCTCCGGGCAAGGCCAAAATGCACCTTCCCTATTTGGCACTGATGGTCTATCTCCACACAATTTACCACCAGAAAAAGGCAAGTAATGCTAAAAAACTTTTAGGCACAAAACACTATCTTCTTTCTCTTAACTTTCTACCATGCAATCTGATCATCCAGAAGCCATTTTGGGGTTTACCAGAAGGTGATACAGATTGGTACAAAATGAAGCTTATCTGAAAACTGGTTAAGGATTCGAAGCACGTTAACTCTGAAGGATGAATCTTGACACGCAGACAAACACGGGGAGGTATGATTTGCACAAATACTTGAAGTTGTCTTGGTTACGTTCCTCATGAGCCACACGCTCAGCTGCTCGCGGTGCACGCGTGCATCCTCTTGGCCACGTCATACACGTAGGTGACGTCTGGCCGCTTCTCCGGGTCCGGGTTGATGCATATGTTAACTAACTGTCGGAGCTGGAGAGGAAGCAACAGGACAGCTTTAATCAACACCTCGGGGCTCTGAACAGTTATCTATTTATGAGGAAGGCATATTTTCTGATTACATATTCCTCTTTCTAGGGATGCCCTTGTAAGATTACTTGTCAATAATTTTACAGTTGGCTCAGTGTTCCAGGAGGCATGTTCACGGAGGTATTAACTCGAGGGAGAAGCAGTTCCCACAATCAGGTGCTTTCAGTGGACAGCAAGAACTAAAGACAACAGGTGTTTCCCTATTAGACTCCAGTTAACTGAAGACATAAACGCATAAGTTTGATCTAGAACTGAGGGTCTTAGCCTTGACTTTTAAGTTTAAATTTCCATAAGAGACAAGAGGAGTAGATATTTAGCACATACATTGATTATGAATCAGTTCATATTTATGAGTATAAGGTTTTATATTTTATATAGGAAAACTATTCCTCTAAACTAAAGCAGTAAACTGTCTGCAGCATTAACTGTAAATATTATTTTAGACTTCCACTGTGTGAATTAGTATTTAAGTATCCCGGCTTTATTCCAGAAAGTTGAGGTTTACTTATGTCATAAAAAGGCACATTTCAGTAAATCAAGAAAGTATCTTCTCTTCTTGTCCAGGTCCACCAATTAGAAAAGTATAAGGTGTAGCTGGCACTGGTGGTTCAGGCCTATAATTCTAGATGCTTTGGAGACTGAGATCTGGAAGATTGCATCTTGAGGCCAGCCCAAAGCAGAAAAGTTTGTTAGACTCCATATCCAAAATAACAAGTGAAAAGGTAGACTAGCGAGATCAACTGGTAAAGCACCAGCCAAGCAAGTATGAGGTCGTGAGTTCAAATTCTAGTACTGTCACAAAACAAAACAATAGCAGAAAAACCAGTTCAGAGTTTATTCTCAATTCTAACTGCCATCAGTTTAGGGAAACTTTCTTCCTTACACTGTGATCAAGTCCTATTTGGGTTCTTCTGCCCGTGTTTCCATCTTTAGGAATCATTAGACATTACGAAAACTTGTATTAGCTTTTTCCAGCAAGTATATAAGCACTTAATGATTAAATTAGCATCACGTGTTCACAGTCCTCAATTCTTACCACAGGTTTTGTGAAAATAATGATGAAAAGTGGCTGAAGGCTGTTGGCACTGCTGTTAGGGGACCAGAGCTGGGGAGAGAGGCCATCGTGACAGAGATCAAGACCTGGCACTGGAGCCTGCCAGACGCTGGCTTTGGTGAGGAGACAGGGGGCTCCTAGGAGTCACTGGCTCTGGGAGTCACTTTCTTCATCTATTAACCAGTGAGGTGGCAGCAGATGACCAGGTAGGAGGTCTCCCAGCTCTAATTCCTTAAGCTGTGCAATTCTAGCCGAACAAAGGCTAATGGCTCTATTGCAGTGACACCTTTGGAAACTCACCACAAGGAGTGGTAATTTCCTACCCAGTGACAGGGCCTGGAGGTGTTCCATGCCCTAGGCAGAGACAGGCAGCAGCAGCACAAAGTCCTAGGCAGAGATCCTCATGCCCTGTCCTGAGCTGATGTGAATCCAGGGGTTGGGATGTTACCGGTGAAATAAAAGTAAGTGTGTCCAGCCATGCGCAATTCAGGAAGCAGTGGGAAAGATAATGTGACTTCCTACGAAGTCATCAGATGTTTTGTTTAGAGAGGAAGGCAAGGCAGCATGGACACCTCCAGATGAGCAAGAGCAGGACGTTATTTCTCTCATCTGTCCTTTCCAGCCTTTCTTCCTGTCTCACTCACTCATCTGGTCATCTGAGAAATTCCTTTGGAGTGTTTATTTATGTACCAGATACTTTATTGGGTGATAAGAATAAAGCAACAGCCGGGCGCTGGTGGCTCACGCCTGTAATACTAGCTACTCAGGAGGCTGAGATCTGAGGATTCCGGTTCAAAACCAGCCCAGGCAGGAGAGACCGTGAGACTCCTATCTCCAATGAACCACCGGAAGTGGCGCTGTAGCTCAAGTGGTAGAGCGCTCGCCTAGAGCTGAAGAGCTGAGGGACAGTGCCCAGGCCCAGAGTTCAAGCCCCACGGCCGACAAAAAAAAAAAAGAAGAAGAAAGCAACAAATGAAGCAGACACAGCACCTCCCCTTATACAGTGTACAACCCAGCAGAAGGAAGAAGTACCCAGGACAGCAAGGAAGTCATCCGAAGACCTCCAGGTGAACCGCAAAGCTGCGATTAAAAGGTGATGTGTGGGCACCAAACCTTCTTCTGTCTACACTTACGGAACTATGATTCTGTTCCGCAGCTGACAGCTTTACTGCAGGCCCCAGGGTGCACAGGGGCCCCACGCAGCACAGAGCTTCCCGACGAGCAGGCCTTCCTCAGCCCGTTCCATTTCATACTGTGCTTTTCGGCAGCACAATCCGTCCCCTGCACTGCCCTGTGATGTGAGAAATGGACGCACAAGCTCCTGTTCCCAGCTCTGCCGTCCCCACTTTCCACTGGGTGCTGTGAGATGACTTCCAGTCAGGTCAAGAGCTGGGGTTTGAATGCAGGGCCGTGCGCTTGCTAGGCAGGAGCTGTAGCACAGGCCACATGCCCCCACCTATTTGTCAGCTAGGGTCTCAGCCTTTTTGCCCAGGGCCAGCCTCAAACTGCAATCTCCTAGCTGTGCCTCCGTAATGTGGACTGCAGTCAGGGGCCTCTTACTTCCTGCTGGCTTTGCAGGGACGACAGGTGTGAGCAACCACATTCCACCTATGTGTGTTTATGCCTCTCCTCTGCCCCAAGGCCGCCCTCAGAGTGGGATCCCCAGCCTCACCTTTGACCTCACCAAGTGCATGGAGGGGATCTGCCCTGCAGAATTTACGTCCTCGTGGCCTCCACTGTGCTTGCCACGGTGTTCACTGGCTGGTCTGAAGAGTAAATGGGCAACTTAGAGCTTAGGGCACAGGACGGGGTTTATGGAGGTGGCCTCGGGCCGAGGTGTGAGACTCGACGCAATCTTAACACCTCATGTGGTGGGAATGAGACCAAGATGAGGAGACAGGCCAGGCCAAAGGTACTCATCCCAAGAGAGTTAAGTGTGCGGTAGGTGACAGCAATGACAAGGACTTGAGTGATGCAGGAGCCGTGAGAAAGAAGAAGAAAACACAGATGTAAGGAATTTAGAGTCTATACGTACAGGCCCAGGAGGGAGAGATCAGGAAAGCTTCGCTTCAGATCCCATTTTATTGATACAGTCGGACACAGACTCAAAGGAAACCAAAACTAGCAGAAGACTCAACTAGATTCCCGAGATTTCAGTCAAGAACTATTATTGATGAGGCACCTTCAGCCAGGGTAAACGGGAGAAGAGTGCCTCCGTGAACACTCGTGAATGACCTTGAAGAAAAGGCTACCATGAGTGGCAACTGGGCCACACCGGAGATGCAGACATTTTGAGATAAGGGTAGACATAGGAATTCCTGAACTTAGGGGTTAATTCTCTGTCTACAGGTAGACAAGTAAGTTATACATATCAGATCAATTTTGTAGCTCTACTGTATGCAGGTACTGGTAACAGCTCAAGAAAGAAGCTGCTAAGCCCTTATTTAACATCATTTTGTATTGTACATTCATTTGGCCTTAAGAGCAGATATCGCTCTTAATTACAGAAAGATTTCTTATTTCCAAGGAATCTTAACATGCTAGCTGCTGCATTTTTCATTGGTGGTGGTACAAGGGTTTGAACTCAGAACCTCACACTCACTCATCTGGCTCACTGGGTTGGAGCTCTAACCACCTGAGCAGTGCTACCTCCAGTCCAGTCCTGGTTATCGCTGGTTATTTTGGAGACTTTTCTGCTTAGGCTGGCTTTGAACCACAGCCTTCCAATCTCAGCTGCCTCAGTAGATAGGGTTATAGGAAGGAGCCATTGATGTCCAGCTATTCTTTCATTTTTAATCGTTGCTAAAGCACTGTAATCCCCCACACCAATCTCATTCACAGATGAAACTAAGAACCAGTTAAAAAGTAGCGAGTAAAACCTGAGCCAAGTCAATAGTTATTGGTGCAGGTCCTTTCCCATTTTATTGTGGAGAGCTGGCTTATTCTCATTAGTCTTGGTCCTTGTGATGACTACTACAGCTCTACATGCATAATGAGACCTGTAACACTAACTAACAGGCTGAATTTCACATCATCTCTGCTCCCTCAGGTTGAGGTAGTAACATGAGTTACTACCAGGAAGTATCAACTACTAGATGGTCACGGTAAGAGTGAAAAAAGTGAATTCTCGTGTGGTTTACTCGACTCAGTTTACCTCCATCAGGTAAACCCAGTAGCAAAGTGTCTCAAATGTCACGTAAGGTGGCAACTAACTTTTCTGTTCATGCTCTCTAGCAAATCAACAGATTAGAAGCCAGGTCCCAGTCACAGACTGTATAACTTTAAACACTGGTAGGTCCCATGAAGCACTTGCAAAGAGAGTATGGCTTTTTCCAACTTCAGACAATCTAAGTTCTGTGTCTTACTCAACAGATTACCACAAGGACACATACTAGCAATATAGAAGTTTACTGTCCTGGCAAATCACCTTTCTAAACTGCTTTAATGCTTGTTTTTGATTCTATCAACTATGACTTTGACGTCTGGAGAAAATTGCTGTTAGGGACTCTGACACATTACTCAGAGACTCTGACCTGAGATATTTTGTCTTAACAGTAGGAAAAAAAATGTTCTTTTGGCTGAGGAGTTGCTATTTCTTGTGCTGTTTCTTTTTGCTCTGTGATACAAAGGAAGCAGTTAACCAAATGAGAACCTCAGCTGTGGCTTCTGTGAGCCGTCAGGACAGGGATCTGTATGCCACTCTACCACTGGCTCACATACACTCCTCTGTCTCTGTTTCTCTTTTCTATTTCCTGTTCTAATTTTGCTATAAGTCATCACAAATCTTTGCAAAAAGAAAAACAGTGGATTTGAAATTATACAGAGATTTACATAGGCTTAGTTCTCAATTCAATGGATTTTTCTTTGGCATATATATCCACCCAAATAC